ACATCTGCGACGAGAAGTATAGGGGGCCAAAGGACCTCGCCATCCGCCAGAAGGAGGCGCGCGACGTCGACGCCAACCCTGTCTCGGCCCCAGCAAATTTCTTTCTGAAGCTCCAGTGTCACCGATGTCTCACAACATGCTCTCGCAAAGACTCGTTTATCAAGCACTTCCGCCGCGGCCGCTGTCGCGCAGATGAGGCCCAGTCCCAGGGGGGCGGCGGAGGAGGAGGGGGGGGGCGCGAGGGCCCTCGGCAATCGCAGGTTGGAGAGCGGCCCCAGGGGTCCCAGGCCGCGTCCAGTGCTCGACCAGTTCGTTCAGGTTCAAGGTCTCCCTCAGCCTCAGGCCGCGCCCCCAGCGCCTGCGCCAGTGCCGGCTGCCCACCATGTTTGGGGAGCTCGGGGCCGCGCCAGCCGCCGCCCGCGCGGGCAACCGACGCCCGGCCGAGGGCGCGGGCGACGCCAGCGAGCTGACGAAGCTCAACAGGCTGTTTCCCCAGCTCCTGCTGCAGCACGAGGACCGTAACCGGGGCAGCCTCGCGGACCAGAACATCGTGGCCATCGCGAGGAAGGAGCCCCAGTTCTCGAAGAGATTCGAGGCGGCCCTCCAGGATTGCGACGCACGCGGCAAAGCAGCAAAGGACCAGGCCAAATAGCAGAACGAGACGTACACGGGGAACCCGTCGGGGAAGAAGCCCGACGCCATGCCCCGCAGCGTGGTCCACTACATCGCGGCGGTCTACCAGCAGAAGAAGCAAGAGGTAGATGCCGCAGCGGCCCAGGGCGAGAACCCAGAGAAGGCGCTCGAGACCCTGGCGAAGATCGCCGAGGCGGCGGCCAAAGCGCGGGACATGAGTAAGAGGTTCACGGCTACCCGGTGCTTCAGGGTAGAGACTAAAGATTCCGAGGGTGCCGAGGTTCACAAGTGGATCTTCGCGTGCAACTCCATGGGAGACGTCGCGCGCAGCTTTGAGACCTTGCGGGGGAACCGCTGCCTCCAGGCCGCCGCGATTACGTTGGACTGGGGCCATGCGCCGCGGAGCCAGGCTGCGAGGTCCATCGACTCCCCCGTTTTCAAGGGCGGCGAGGCCAAGGGGCCTAAGCGCCGCAGGCGTTGAGAGCATGCCCCTCCGGCGGGGCGCCCCAATGGGCCAGGACAGCATGGTGGCGAGCGGCAGGGGTGGCCGCGCTCATGGGAGTGACCCGGGTGAACGGCTGAGCGACTGCCGATTGATGCGCTCCTTCTCCTCCTTCTCCTGTCAAACATGTTTGTCGCACAGCCGCACTGCATGGCAAAAACTGTCGGGGCAAATCCTGGCAAATCCGCGTTTCAAACGTAGGGAAGACTTGCGCATTACCTGTGATGTATCGTGCAGCGCTGTTGGCCTGAATGAGTTTCGGTGGCGCCTACCCTCCTCTGTCTCTCTTGTCCTCCCTCCTCTTGGCCTTCCTGCTTCTGTGCCTCCTCCTCGTAGGTGCCACCTCGGCTCTGCCTTGAGTTCGCGGTTGTTGCCTGATTTCGACCCGTCCACTCCAGCCATGCGTCCTGGAGAGGGAGCCACGGGGGATGGCTATTGTTTGACATCGGCGGGTACGCAGCGATCCCACGCCGCCCATCGGTCGCCGCTGATCCGTCGAGCAGGATTCTCGGCATTACTCCTCCTCCTTCCTCCCTCCCCGCATCTTTTTAGTTTCCAGCTGGCCCTCGCCCAGTCCAGCGAGCACGTCACAGGTTGTCAATTAGGCGGGAGAGCTTTCGCTAGCGGCCAGGGCGGCCACGAGGCAGCGCAGAGGCACTGCCAGTGTCGCCTCGACTGCGCGGTCGCAGAGGCGACTGCGAGCCGACAGAGTGCTGTGCGTCGGTGCTCTTCCTTTGCAGCTCCGTTCAAAGCCAGTCCCATGCTCGTGCGAGTATGGCGCCGCCAGTCGGTTTGATTCTTGGTATCCCAAGCACGACCTCAGAGCACTGTGGGGTAGCGACAGCCAAAAAGCTCCTCTGGCGTGCACCGTTGGTTCTGGGGCTTCATTTTTTCTAACTAAGGGCTACGGATCCCATGCGGCACCTCGCTGGCGGATGACGGGAAGCGCGTGCGAGGAACGAGGAACGAGGACCGTTTTTCTCAAAGAATTCTTTATGTGAGGTTCCGCGCTGCACTTCGGCCGGGCGTCGGCGGATCTCAAACAAAAACCGTTTCGCTCGAGACATCCTTCGAAAATCGGCCCCGGAGTCCCACGATATTCCCAAGAGGGGTCCACGAGGGTTCCAAGACGGCCTCAGTTGCTCCCGAGACGGTCCATGAGGCCCCGAAGACGTCCGAAGGTGGCTCCAATACGGCCCAAGAGGCTCCAAACACGCTCCGAAAGCGCCCAAAGAGAACGCCAAAGAGGCAAACAATATCAAATTTCCATGGGGACATGTACATTTTACCATATCCGCTTTTTCTTTTGTTACGCGGTCCTGGACACGCCAGGAGGCTCCCCAAATCGGCCCAGGACGTCCTCAGCGGTCCCCAAGAGGGCCACAAGACCGCCCAAGAGAACCCCAAGACGGCCCAAGATGACCCCCAATCGGCTTTCGAGGGCTCAAGACGGCCCTAAGAGAGCTCCAAGAGGGCCCCCAAAAACTTCCAAAGAGAGCCCCAGGGAACCTCCAAGAGAGCCCCAAGACGATCCAAGGCGTCCAAGACGCTCCGAGACAGCCCAAAAGGGCTCCAAGACGTCCCCAAAACGGCCGAAAGGGGCCCAAAAAAAACCCAAACAAGACCCCCACCAGGGTCATTACGAAGGTCCAGAGACGCCAATTCAAAGAGAGATCGGTAACGCTAGGAGGCCCCAGGAGGCGCCCAAAAGGTCCCAAGAGGCCCCCGAGAGGCCCCCAAGACGCCCCCAAAGGCCCCCAAGAGGCCCAAAAGAGGCCCCAAGAGGACCCAAACGGCCCGCGAGAAGCCTCCCCAGAGAGCCCAACGAACTTTCACTTCGCCTCATTTTCAATACCCCGGCACGGTGGCGGGATGGACCGAAGGTCACTAGATTTTCCATCTCCTTATCCGGAATTCGGGCTACACAGCCCCAAGACAACTCAAGAAGGCCCGAAAACGGCGCCAGAGGGATCCAAGAGGGCTTCATGTTACAGGCCTCTTGGACCGTTTTCGGGTTGGCGCCGGTCGTATTCAAAATCTAATGGGCCGTCTTGGAGATCTTGGAGTGGCCGGAGACGGCCGGAGGCATCCTGGGCATTCCTGGGAGGGGTCAGGGATCTAATCCGTTTAACCGGATCCCCCCTTTGCAAGCCAGCCGGACCGAACCCCAAGGGGACGACGGATAGCTCGGGATCTTGAAGGTGGACGCGGGGGCCGCGTGGTAACTGACCGCTTGCGCACAATACAAGTAACAGCGGTTCCAGGGCGTGAATCTGGCTGCACTTCTGTGGGTCCTGGTCGCCGAGGCATGAACCCAGAGTACTTTGCAATGGGTCGTGGCCTCGGAGGCACCTATCGCGTGTACTTTACGAGGGATCTGCGCCTCGGGAGCGCGAACGTCGTATATTTTCGAGGGATCCTTGTCTCGGGCACCGCGCAGTCCCCTCCTGCTCGCACAAGCGTTCCAGTTTTGACGTCCCCATGAGATGCCACACCTGCAACGAAAGTTCGAACATTCGCTTCCTGTTCTTGTCAGGTCAGGTTCCGGAAAAATGGTCGTTTCGCTCGAGACATCCTCGAAACATCGGCTCCGGAGGGAACTCCGAACTGGCATTGTCTTGGGAGTCGCTCCCGGAGAGCTTCAAAACGGCCCCAAAGAGCTCCAAAAGGCTCCCCAGGGGACCCCCGAAACGGCCCAAGAGACCCCGCAAGAGGCCCCCAAGAGGCGCCTAGAGGCCCCCCAGAGCGCGCAAAGAGGCCCCGGGACTGGCCAAGAGAGCCCCAAAACAGTACAAGAGAACGCCAAGACAGCCCACGAGAGCCCCCACACACCCTCCAGACACTCCCGGACAGTCCAAGAGGGTCACAGAAGCCTCCAAGAGGCTCCCAAAACGCTCCCCACGGGCGCCTCTGGCGTGCACCGTTGGCTGGCGGACTCTGCGCGGTCGTGCCCCATGCTGCGATGCTGGGCTCCTGTCGTTTCCCAGAGGCCTTGCGACAGCACACATAGAGATCAAGCGGGCTCTTCGAGCTCGTTGTTGGGTGATTCGGCCTGTACTGCACGCGCGCTTAGCGTCGCGATCCGTTCGTCGGGAAACAGAACAAGGGGGGACAGCATTGGCTACCACATCTTCCCGCCCTTCCCCCTCCTTTGTCCCCCTGTCTCTCTCTCTCTCTCTCTCGACGGCGACGACGACGACGACGACGCCGGCGCCTCCAGAGCACCCCTGCATCCATGCCTACGTGGCCCCATGCGCCACGCATGCGAGAGCAATACAATCCAAGGGGCCCCCAAGGGCCCAAGGGGCCCCCAAGAAGCCCCCAACAGGCCCCAAGAGAACCCAGCGCGGCGCTAGGAGCAACGTCTTTCTCCAATTGCCGAGTACTGTCCTCTGTCGTCGTCGTCGTCGTCGTCATCATCGCCCTCCGCATTCCTCCTCGTACTCGCCCTCGTTCTCTTCGTCCTCGTCCTTGTGCTTCTCTTCCTCCTCGTTGTCCTCATGATCCTCCTCGCTATCCTCACGTTCCGTAGCCATTTTGGCTCAAGCAAATTTGGTTCAGTCGAGAAAATTGCGACGCTGTCCTCGCGATCCAATTTGCAATCCCCAGAGGCGCGCGGTTACCGATGGCCAAATCAATCGTCATGGAGTTCGCAGCCGTCCTTTGCGCGGCCTTGGTCAGTTGCGTGATCGGCGAAAACGGCGACTGCGACTGCATGACGGAGTGGAACTACGATGGCGATGGCGACGGGGTTATGGAGTCGTACGAGGGCTGCAGCGCCACAGCGGACTGGAACCAGAGCTGATGCTACGTACAGGGCGGTTCCAATTGCAACCAAGCCCTGAACTCCACCGTGGCCGGCGAGATGCGCAAGTGGCGCGAGTGCGGCTCTTGCAACTGCATGACGGAGTGGAACTACGATGGCGATGCCCACGGGGTTAATGAGTCGTACAAGGGCTGCAGCGCCACAGCGGACTGGAACCAGAGCTGGTGCTACGTACAGGGCGGTTCCAATTGCAACCAAGCCCTGAACTCCACCGTGGCCGGTGAGACGCGCAAGTGGCGCGAATGCGGCTCCTGCAACTGCATGACGGAGTGGAACTACGACGGCGATGGCGACGGGGTTATGGAGTCGTACGAGGGCTGCAGCGCCACAGCGGACTGGGACCAGAGCTGGTGCTACGTACAGGGCGGTTCCAAATGCAACCAGGCCCTGAACTCCACCGTGGCCGGCGAGACGCGCAAGTGGCGCGAGTGCGGCTCCTGCAACTGCATGACGGAGTGGAACTACGATGGCGATGCCGACGGGGTTATGGAGTCGTACGAGGGCTGCAGCGCCACGGCGGACTGGGACCAGAGACTGGTGCTACGTGCAGGGCGGTCCAACTGCCAAACCAAGGCCCTGGATCACCACACGTGGCAATTGTTGCGAAGAGCGACAAGTGGCGCGAGTGCGGCTCCTGCAATTGCATGACGGAGTGGAACTACGATGGCGATGCCGACGGGGTTATGGAGTCGTACGAGGGCTGCAGCGCCACGGCCGACTGGGACCAGAGTTGGTGCTACGTGCAGGGCGGTTCCAATTGCAACCAGTACCTGAACTCCACCGTGGCCGGCGAGAATCGCAAGTGGCGCGAGTGCGGCTCCTGCAACTGCATGACGGAGTGGAACTACGATGGCGATGCCGACGGGGTTATGGAGTCGTACGAGGGCTGCAGCGCCACGGCGGACTGGGACCAGAGCTGGTGCTACGTGCAGGGCGGTTCCAATTGCAACCAGTACCTGAACTCCACCGTGGTCGGCGAGACGCGCAAGTGGCGCGAGTGCGGCTCCTGCAACTGCATGACGGAGTGGAACTACGATGGCGACGCCGACGGGGTTATGGAAGCGTACGAGGGCTGCAGCGCCACGGCCGACTGGAACCAGAGTTGGTGCTACGTCCAGGGCGGTTCCAACTGCAACCAGGCCCTGGACTCCACCGTGGCCGGCGAGACGCGCAAGTGGCGCGAGTGCGGCTCCTGCAATTGCATGACGGAGTGGAACTACGATGGCGATGCCGACGGGGTTATGGAGTCGTACGGTAGGCGCCAGCGCCACGGCCGGACTGGGACCGAGCTTGGTGCCTACGTGGCAGGGCCGAGCTCCAATTGCAACCAGTACCTGAATTCCACCGTGGCCGGCGAGACGCGTAAGTGGCGCGAGTGCGGCTCCTGCAACTGCATGACGGAGTGGAACTACGATGGCGATGCCGACGGGGTTATGGAGTCCTACGAGGGCTGCAGCGCCACGGCGGACTGGGACCAGAGCTGGTGCTACGTGCAAGGCGGTTCCAACTGCAACCAGGCCCTGGACTCCACCGTGGCTGGCGAGACGCGAAAGTGGCGCGAGTGCGGCTCCTGCAACTGCATGACGGAGTGGAAATACGATGGCGATGCCGACGGGGTTATGGAGTCGTACGAGGGCTGCAGCGCCACGGCCGACTGGGACCAGAGTTGGTGCTACGTGCAGGGCGGTTCCAATTGCAACCAGTACCTGAACTCCACCGTGGCCGGCGAGACGCGCAAGTGGCGCGAGTGCGGCTCCTGCAACTGCATGACGGAGTGGAACTACGACGGCGATGGCGACGGGGTTATGGAGTCGTACGAGGGTTGCAGCGCCACGGCCGACTGGGACCAGAGCTGGTGCTACGTGCAGGGCGGCTCCAATTGCAACCAGTACCTGAACTCCACCGTGGCCGGCGAGACGCGCAAGTGGCGCGAGTG